ACTCGGGCGCTCGGAGAGCTCGGTCTCAAGAAAATCGCACTCGCAACGGTTTATCGAAAAGAGTCGGCACGCGTGTCTGTTCGGATCCGAGGTCAAGGAGAAAACGATTGAGATTGAGAGAACCTCCGAAGGGTTGTCATATATATAGTACCTTCGTCGCGTTGCATCCCCGCTCCTGATGCATTACCCAATCGCGACCCGCGCGTCCTTCGAGTATCGATTGGCTAATCGGAGGGATCTCGTTATGGTCCGCGCTAGATCGTGTATTTCGGCGGTGTTACTTGCGCGGCGTCGCCAAAGTATCGTTCGCGCTCGCTCGCATCGCCTGCGTGGTGTGCGAGCGAGACGCGATGCGTTCTACTACACGTGAGCGATATACGATACGCTCCATGCTCCCCCCGTTGAGAGGGTACCGATCAACTAGATCGAATCGGATGATATATCTGACCTCACCTGTTTCAATCGTTCAGATGATTCGTGGTCCGCAAACTCGTGTGAGGATTATCGCCTCGTGGTCGTTCGATCGGAAGTGGGCACAAGCACTTCACAGATCGGCTTGCAAGCTTGTGTGAGGATTATCGCCTCGTTTTTGTTCGATCGGAAGTGGGCACAAGCACTTCACAGATCGTTTTAAGTTTCCGGTACCGGTTTTAATTGTGACGGTTCGGATTATTCCGTCTTCGCCGGGGTGAGTCTCTATGACTCTCCCCAATGCCCATTGCATGCAAGGAATGTTCTTTTCTTTTATAAGTACTACCGTACCGACGTCGAGTTGCTCGCCGTCCTTGATCCATTTGCGTCGGACCTGGAGCTCGTTCAAATACTCCAGACTCCATCGCGTCCAAAAATCCTGCCGCACTTTAGCGATGTGTTGCCAGGTGGATAGACGGTTGGCTGGGATCGACGAGACATCGAATTCAGGCATGCTAGTTAATGGTCTACCAATCAAGCAATGTGCGGGCGTAAGTGCTAAAAGATCGTTCGGGTCTGACGAGAGAGAAGAGATCGGTCTAGAATTTAATATTCCTTCTACTTCGATCGCGAAGGTGTTTAATTCCTCGAACGTGAACAAGGCATCCCCTACGACGCGTTTGAGATGATGTTTGAATGATTTTACCGTAGATTCCCATAATCCGCCGAAGTGCGGAGTAATGGGTGGAATGAAATGCCACGCTATTTGATGCTGGCTCGAAAATCGAGTTATTTGATCCTTATGCTCATCGGAGTTCAAAAGAACGTATAATTCTTTTAATTGGTTATTTGCACCGACGAAGTTGGTGCCGTTGTCAGAATGAACGTGCGCGGGAATGCCTCGTCTGGCGATGAATCGTCGGAAAGCTGCGAGGAACCCGTCGGTGGTCAAATCACTCACTATTTCTAAATGCACGGCTTTTATGACCATGCATACGAAAATGCAAACATAGACCTTGACTCGCTTTTGATTCCGATGTTTCTTTTCTTTAACATAGAATGGGCCGCAGAAATCGACACCAGTATTCTCGAACGGGAATGCTTCGCGCACTCGGGCGCTCGGCAAATCGCCCATTTTGTATTCTACCGCGCTGGCTCGAAACCGAAAGCAGCGCACGCAAGAGCGAACGATCTTGCGCACTTGATTGCGGCCATCTAACAGCCAGTATCGTTGTCTGATCGCGTATAGAGTGGTTTGAATGCCCGCGTGATGTAGTCTCTCGTGCGTCTCCCTGATGAGGAGATCCGACAAGGGATGACGGCTCGGAAGTAATACCGGATGTTTCTGTCTGAACGGCAAATTTGATTTTTTAAGTCGCCCGCCGACGCGGATCAGGCCGTCCTCGTCTATGAATGGATTTAACGCGGCGATTCTACCCGTGTTTACCGCTCCTTGTTTCGTTAGCTCGCGTAACTCTCGCGAGAATTGAGATTGCTGTACGAGCTTCATAATTCTAATCTCTGTCTCGACTAATTCCTTCGCGCACAATTGCCCCCGATATAAATTAGTCGGTCTAAAACGTAGGCATAACGCCGTTATTCGTATCATCTTGTGATACGATGAGTACGCCGTTAGAATCGAGAGTTCCGTCGTGATCGCGGCTAAACAAGTGACCTTTCGCAACTCAGGAATTTCGTTCAATTCTTCGCGATTGTTAGGCCATTCGTCGTCTTCGTCTCTCAGCCACGATGGCCCGGAAAACCAAATTCGATTATTCAGGAACGCGCTCGGTAATTGGCCTCTTGACAGTGCGTCGGCCGGATTGTCCTTTGAATTAACGTGTCGCCACTGACAGAGACTGGTAAGGTCCTGTATCTGTGCGACGCGGTGAGAAACGTATGTCTTTAATAGATGAGGTGAAGTTCGTAGCCAATGTAGCACGACGGTCGAATCGCTCCAGAATACGGTTTTGTCGCAAGGTATCCCTAGCGCGCGTCGTACTTGATCGTATAAATTGGCCAGGAGAAGCGCTCCGCATAACTCGAGACGGGGAATCGTTATAGTTTTCAAGGGCGCGACTCGTGATTTAGCGCACAAGAGATGACAGCGAACGCGACCAACATTGTCTTTAGACCGAAGGTATATACATGCTCCGTAGCCAACAGTGCTGGCGTCGCAGAATCCATGCAATTGTACCTCGATGCAATCGGGTGTGAGCGCGGAACGATCGATGGCTAAATCATTGACTGTATTTAATTGCGTCGCGAATTCTATCCATGCTGCGTGTATGTCGGGGGGTATCGACTCATCCCATTCGACCTTGCATTGCCATAGCGTTTGCATTAATTTTTTAGCATGCAGTATCACCGGCCCCAGAACGCCTAACGGATCGAAGATTTTGGCGATTTCCGACACTATGGTTCGCTTCGTGACTCGTTCCGCGCGACTGATCGGTTGAACTGAATAGCGTAGTGTATCATCGCGCGCGCACCATGATACGCCTAAGGTCTTTAACGAATTATTTTTGTCGAAAGTTAGCCTTGAATTTATGGCATCGGAATGTAGATCCGCGACGATGGATTTTTCGTTAGAAGCCCACTGTCGTATGTTAAATCCGCCCCGGGCTAACAATGCGATTACATCATTCCGTAAGGCCCGAGCCTCTTCGATCGTATTCGCGCCGGTAAGCAGATCGTCCACGTATAAATGATTTTTAAGCGCTCGGGCGGCGTTGGGGTATCTCGCGCCCTCGTCCTCCGCCAGTCGATGGATCGTCCGAATAGCGAGGTATGGTGACGAGGACACGCCGAACGTGAGCGTGTTAAGTTGGAAGGTTTTAACGTGATCATCCTGACGCCAAAATATACGCTGATAGATCTGATCGTCCTTATGTAACAAGATCTGTCTATACATTTTCTCGATATCGGCCGTAAGCACGTATCGGTATGCGCGAAATCTGATTAGATGCGTGAATAATGTGTCTTGGATTGTGGGTCCCGTCATTAATATGTCGTTTAACGAAGCGCCACTGCTCGTTTTCGCGGACGCGTCGAAAACTACGCGAACCCTCGTTGTGCTGCTAGACGCCTTTACGACGCAGTGATGCGGCATGTAATAGCCTTCATCGCGCGGATCGTCTATCGGATGCATGTGTTTCAAATCTAAATATTCCTGGATTACCTGCGAATAGGCGACCTTTAACTCGCGATCTGCATTCAGCTTTCGTTCGATCGATTGTAAGCGTTTGAGAGCCATACTTCGCGACCGTCCGAGGCGCTCATTGCTTTTACGAAACGGTAAACGTACCTCGTACCGACCTTCGGCGTCGCGGGTGACATGTTTTACGAAATGGGCTTCGCATTCTTGATCTTCGACCGATTTTAATTGACCCGTTGATAATTCTTCGATCGTCCAGAATTTAGCGATCTGGTCTTCTAAAGTGGCTAACGCGCACGCGACCCTTTTCCGAGAATCTCGCGACGCGCCTCCGCTGGCCACTACCCAGCCGAGTCGCGTCTTCTGCAGATATAAGTCGTAATTTTCGTGGGATAGATTAATCTGACCGATAGAAAGTAACGACAAAGTCGCACCGGATCCGATCAGCAGATCGACCGCGCCCGGTAGGTGGAACTTCGGATCCGCCAGCCGGATGTTAGCCGGTATATCGATGGACTCTCTCGGGAAACGCTCGGATGGAATCAAGTCCGATATCGCAGGAATTAATAGGCACGTTAGTTCCTTACGGAACTCGTTATGCAACGACTGAATGCCGATTCGCATAATCCCGTTGGACGCGGTGCTTATCGAGGCAATCGTACCTATCGGCTGCGTGTGCGCAGTCACGGGCAGTTTTAATCGTCTCGCGAAACTTTCGGTAAGGAAATTCGCGGTGGCACCCGTATCGAGCAGCGCGCGACATTCGATAGGCCGAGAGTCGCGATCTCGGATTAGCACGGTTGCAGTCGTCATTAATTGCGGTCTAACGGTGGGGGAAATCGCGGCGAGACAAACCGCCGCGCGATCGCGCCTAACGGCTAGTCATTTGGTCTCGTTCGTTTTTCCGCCCGTCGCGACAGATTTCATTTCGAAATGCAGAAGTGTGTTATGTCGCTTCTGGCAGATGGTACAGTTCGTGTACTTGCAAGGTTTGCCGAGATGCGAGCGCAGACAGTTATAGCAAAGCCTAGCCCCTTTCACGAATTCCAGACGTTGTTGTACGTCCATCTGTTTGAATTTGTCGCACTTATACAGCGGATGCGATTTAATTTTGCACACCGCGCAGTTGAATGTTGTACTGATCGCGAATGCCTTATTAGCTATTCGCGGCTTCTTTGCGAGGGGCGCGGCCTTGCTATCGTCCCGCTTAAATGTCTCGTCTCGCGCGCGCTTCGAGACCCGAACCGCGGTCAAGTATAAAAACTCGTACAGGTCTTCGATTTTCGGAAATTCGTCTCGCGTGAGTGTCTCTTCCCATTTGTCCGCCGTGGCCTTGGGTAGTTTATTTTCTATTATGTTTACGAGCATTTCGGAACTTACGTTGACCCCGAGCGATGCTAAAGATGCGGCATGCTGTTGCGCATCGTCCGCGAGTCGAGACAAGCCCTCGTTAGTTTCTTTGTCTACAGCGGGCATATTTCTCAGTAAGGACAGATGTCGTGAGATTAACACCCGCTTAATCTCATACGAGCGTCTCAACAAATCCCAAGCTTTCGCGTAGCTTGAGTTTTCGATCGTTAATAATTTGACCTTGTGAGCGGCGTCGCCTTTTAACGCAGATTTTAAGTATTGCAGTTTGTCCACGTCAGTTAAGTCGGTCCGCGTGTCAATCATCGAATTGAACGCATGCTTAAACGACAGCCAATTCTCGCATCGACCGTCGAATTTGGGCAAGGATGCTTCTGGAAGCTTCACCCTTCGTTTCGCGGGCCCGGCGGCGCTCGCGTCGTTGGCGGTGCTCGCGTCGTTCGTGTTGGTGACGCGGTCGGCCTCGGAACGCGTGGGATTAATTATTTTCGCGACTTTACCTACCAGCGCGTAGAATCGCTCCTGCACGTTCGCGAATTCTTGCTTATGAGTATCGTTCGACTCGATTATCGCCAGTTCATCATTGTATTCTTCAAACGCGTTATACAAGTCCGTAACTCGAGCCATGCGTACCTTTAGCGCGTCTACGTCATACCGTTCTCTCTCGATCAGATTCGTTAACCCGGTGATCTGTGTTTTTAGCGACGTTCTTTTTTGTACAATAAACTTAATTCTGTCCGCCATTATAAACGTAAAATGATATCAATAAAGTGAATTATCGCTTGATTGCCCGTGTGACCAATAACACTTTACTTGCCGCTAGCCTGTATCCGTCGCCCGTTCCAGAACCTTCCTTTGTCCCGTCCTGGTATGATGTGGTTGATTCTTTCGTCGTCCGCCTTCGTCCAGCGCACGACCTCACAGGAGGCACCAATTCGTGGATCGTCGAAGGATCGTGCGTAGGGAGGATTAAGTCCGTACACTTGTTTCGCATCAAAACACTTTGTTTATTCGCACTGTTTTATACGTGGTATGTTATAAATTTTATGTATGCGTCCACCACATCGAGACTCGCGTCACTTTATCTGGTGGAATGGCGCGGTAGTTCCGTGTCGCAATCCTGTCTCTTATA